ACAACTTTCCTCTTACCCCCTTTTGAAAAGCAGAAGAAAAGTGGAAGGAAGATGCTAAGTGACAAATTTCAAGTAGTTTTCATACCCCACCGGCTTTCCCAAAAGCCAACTTCTTCCATGAACTCAGCTCCTTTTCACTATCCGCTTCAGTTTTATGATTAAAATCACTCATTGGCCTCGCCCTCTTCTTCTGTATGCTTCGATTCCTCTGTTCTGACTCAGATTTGAAAACACCCATTTCTTAAAATCCTCTCTTTTCATCTTGGGATCGATCTTTGTTTCAAGCAAACAAGGTATGGTGTTCTTTGTTTCTTGTAATCATCTTTCTTTTAAGATGAAATTATCTGGGCTGGTTCAAAATTGGCAATGTTTTGTTGAGTAATGGCGCTTTGGAGAAGTGGGAGACTTTGAATTTAATTGTATTTATTATGTGTTGGGTTTTTCTTATATGGGTTTGGATTGAAGCAAACAGGGAAGAAACAAGTTGGGGTAATTTTCTATATTTGCAAGTTTAATCAAGTTAGGGCTTGTTTGAGGGTGATTTGATAATGTTCGTAATCGCTTTTGTTGTGTCTTTCAAAATCACTCTCGAACATGTTCGTAGCAATGGTTACTTCTAGTTAATGAACAAATTTGTTAGTGCTAATTTCCTGAGAGAAATTAGTTGTAACAATCTAAGTCCACCGCTAATAGATATTGTCTAGTTTGACCTGTTATGTATCGTCGTAGGCTTCACAATTTTAAAACTCGCATGTTAGGAATTGTGAGATCTCACATCGGTTGGAGAAGGGAATGAAATATTCCTTATAAGGGTGTGAAAACCTCTTCCTAATAGATGTTTTTTAGAACCGTGAAGTGAATTTGGCTTAAAAAGTTGTATGAATATCAATAACAATGTGAGTTTCTGCAGGTTGATATCATTTTTGACACTATGAAGTGGACAATCAATATCGATACGACCTCAGTAAGTAATCATGGCAGAAATGGACATAACAACATCTCTCCCTTCAACAGTAAAACTAAACAGCCATTTGAATAACTTTTAGAATCATCTTTCTAAGAAACAACATATAAACTCGTCCGTTTTGTTAAAGAAACGACTCGAAAATTCGTGATTTACTTATGTTTCTCATTTACATCAATGCAACCAAGCAAATACAGCCAACTTTTTCAATACCTGTAGTGTTGGACATGGTGGCTTGTTTTGTTATGTGTGATGAATTAAACTGCAGGGTGACATGGAAGAAGCTGATCAAGTGGAAGTTGATTATGTTAAGGCATTATCACTCTCACAAATGGAATTTGAAAATGAACAAGATTTGATCATTGGTAAGTGTTAATGCTATAAGATTCAAGTTTTGTTGCATATATTAGATTTGAGTTTATACAAGTTCTTGATGAATAGAGAGAAAGATAAAGGAAACCCTCAATGTCCAAACTGAAGAGGATGAGCAGCTTGCCAATGCAATGCAACTAAGCTTAGTCATGGCGTCTTCTAAAGCTGTTTCTTCTGCATTCAAGTAAATCTTTCAACTTTTTGTATCGGTTCCTCGAGTTCAAACTTCTGCAAATGCCGTTCATGAACCATGGCTCTTGTTGTAACACATAACATGTTTGTGTAGGATTATCTGTGCTGGATGCAACAATGAGATAAGTCGACGCGAAAATCGTTTCGATTGTAATGGTATTGTTTGGCATGTTAAATGTCTCCAATGCCATGCTTGCATACAAATGATCAAAGATGACCAGGTAGCTTTAAAGGAGGGTGGAAAATTTTGGACCATGTTAAATTTGTGAAATCCTAGGTATTATATATCCTTAATTTTGACGATTGTATGTTGGATGGTTTATGACAGTTCTACATGGTCGAAAATCGACCTTACCACAAATCTTGCGCTAGGAATAAGAGTCATCTCAAATGCTATGTATGCAATGACTTTGTAAGTATTTGGAAATCTTGAATGCTTTGCATAGAACCATATACCGTTGAAGTTAGTTGGTCTTAGACATGCAGATAAGAACAATCCTTTAATACGAGTTAGTGCTCGATATAGGCATAAGCCCAAAGTCGACAATATCTTAGTGGAATGTTTCTAATATCCATATTTTTCTTACCTTGCTGATGCTGTTAGATCCCATATATTGGTAAAGAGGTCGAATATGGAGAGCATCCTTTTTGGGCACAAAAGTACTGCCCGTCCCATGAAGATGATGGAACTTCCAAATGTGCTAGCTGTGAAAGGTTGAAGGTAATTCTCTCTCTCTCTCTTTCTGAGATTCCACATCGGTTGGAGAGGATAATGAAGCATTCCTTATAAGGGTATGGAAACCTTTCTCTAGTAGACGCGTTTTAAAACCGTGAGGCTGATGACGATACGTAACAGACCAAAACAGACACTATCTGTTAGCGGTGGGATTAGACTGTTACAAATGGTATCAGAACTAGGCACTGGGCGGTGTGCCAGCGAGGACGTTGGGCCTCCAAGGGGGGTGGATTATGAGATTCCATATCGGTTGGAGAGGGGAACGAAACCTTCCCTATAAGGGTGTGGAAACCTCTCCCTAGTAGACATATTTTAAAACCGTAAGGTTGATGGCGATACGTAATGAACCAAAACAGACAATATCTATTAGTGATAGGTTTAGGCTATTACAAATGATATCAGAACTAGGCACTGGGTGGTATGCCAGTGAGGACGTTGGGCCCCAAGGGGGGTGGATTGTGAGATCCCACATCGGTTGGAGAGGGGAACGAAGCATTCCTTATAAGGGTGTAGAGACCTCTCCCTAGTTGACGTGTTTTAAAACTGTGAGGCTGAGGACGATACATAACAGGCCAAAACAGACAATATTTATTAGCGGTGGGCTTAGGCTGTTATAAATGGTATCAGAACTAGGCACCGAACGGTGTGCTAGAGAGGACGTTGGGCCCTCAAGAGGGGTGGATTATGAGATCCCACATTGATTGGAGAGGGAAATGAAACATTTCTTATAAGGGTGTGGAAACCTCTCTCTACTAGACGCATTTTAGAACCGTGAGGCTGATGGCAATATGCAACGGGCCAAAACAGACAATATTTGTTGGCGGTGGGCTTAGGATGTTACACTTTCTCTCCCACATTCACACATATGTGCTTTGTCCTTCATGCAGCCAAAAGGACGGGAGTACATTTTACTCCAAGATGGCAGAAGTTTGTGTGTAGAGTGTTCCAGCTTCATGATCCTGGACACCAACGAGTGTCAACCTCTTTTCCGTGAGATACAAGAGTACTTCACAAGTTTAGACATGAAACTGGACCAAAAAATTCCTTTGTTGTTGGTCGAAAGGGAAGCATTGAATGAGGCCATGAAAGGGGAAAGGAATGTGAGGACAAGACACTGACTGACGTTGTCTTTTTGGTTGTTTATTGAATGCTGTCTTTGTCTTACCATTTGTTTGGATCATATAGGGACACCACCATTTATCTGAAACTCGAGGACTCTGCGTGTCAGAAGAGCAAATCATTCCCGTTGTAGGAATTTCAACCTCTTTGTTTCAATTCAACATTGAACCATAGTAACAATAGATATGAGTGTTTTTTGTGTTTGAATTTGAATGAACTGAGCTGATTTGAACATTGGTAGTAGATTCATAAGAGGAAACATACGGGAAGAAATTCAACCTTGAACACACAGCCTTTCAGACTTGTTCGTAGTTGTGAAGTTAATGCTATACTCATTCTATATGGTCTTCCCAGGTACGTGAAAACATTTAAAATGTCTGTTCTCTCATTCATACATGATATATGAACTTTGTTAGTACAGTGTGTTGAGGATAGGTGGGAGGGAGTTCCAACAATGTGCCAGTGAGGAGGCTTAGACACGAGGTGGTGTGCTAGCAAGGACGCTGGTCCCCGAATGGGGTGGGATTTGGTGAGGGAGTTCCACATTGGCTAATTTAGGGAATGATTATGAGTTTATAAGTAAGGAATACATCTTCATTGGTACGAGACCTTTTGCGGAAACCAAAAGCAAAGCCATGAGAGCTTATGCTCAAAGTGGATAATATCATACCATTGTGGAAAGTCGTAGTTCCTAATATGGTATTAGAGTCATGTCCTTAACTTAGTCATATCAATAGAATCCTCATATGTTGAACATAGAAGTTTTTTGCCTAGAAGGTGTAGTCAAAAGTGACTCAAGTGTCGAACAAATAGTGTAACTATTTGTTCAAGGGCTCTAGAGAAGGAGTCGAGTCTCGATTAAGGGGGACTGTTTAAGGGCTCCATAGGCCTCAAGGGAGACTATATGATGTACTTTGTTCGTGGAGAGGATTGTTAGGAGAGAGTCCGACATTAACTAATTAAGGGGTTGATCATGGGTTTATAAGTAAGGAATACATCTTCATTGGTACGAGGTCTTTTGCGGAACCTTATGCTCAAAGTAGACAATATGTAGTTCCTAACATTCATTCACTTTCAAACATATCGGAGCTTGCTTTCATTCATATCAAACTTAAAATCCTCTTTTTTGAAGTACATATCATCTGTTTTGTGGAATTTGATACGAACAATATTTGTTTGCAGCTTAGTTTTTCACCATACACACACATTTTCTTTTAAATAGGCTATTGACAGGATCCATTCTAGCACATGAGATGATGCATGCATGGCTTAGACTTCAAGGCTATCCCAATTTAAAACCCGAAATCGAAGAAGGAATCTGCCAAGTCCTCGCTCACATGTGGCTGAAATCCAAGATCAATGTGGGATTTGAAGCCGCCATGATTGCTAGCTCGTCTTCTACCCAACAACCTCTACGTTCAAACAAGCAGCTGAGTAAAATCGAGCAGAAACTCGGCGAATGCTTCGTTCGCCAAATCGAGCTGGATAACTCCGAAGCTTATGGAGATGGATTCAGGGTGGGAGAACAGGCTGTTTCTCAGTATGGCTTAAAGGAAACTCTTCATCACATCAAACACACTCGAACCTTTCCATTTTAAACGTTGATATCATAGAATAAACACATGAACATTTTTTACAAATGTGCAAACTTTAAGATCCTTTACTTAAAATGAACAACAATGATTAGCTTTGTTCTGAATTTGGCTGTCTCACAGAAGTGTTCGACAATTCCCATGATACAGAACTGCTTAAAATTCTACCAAGCGATTGAACAATCTCGTCCATCGATGGGCGTTGAGATGGATCTTTGTTCAAGCACTTATCGACAATACTCATCACGAGAATAGCAAGCTCGATCGAAAAGTTACCTTCTAATGAAGAATCCATCAAATGGCTTAAATACTCCTTCCCATCTTCCTCATCAAGCACCTTCTTAAGAACGTCACCCAATTGCAAATTCTCCTCTCTGTACAACTCTGATACCTCTTTCCCAGTGAGCATTTCAATCATCAAAACACCGAATGAATAAACATCGAGCTTTGTAGAGACCAAACCATTCTCGAGATACTCAGGAGCCATGTAACCTCTCGTTCCAACGATGTGCATTGTCAGTGTAAACTCGCCTTCTTCCCATCCTGCCGATCTTGCTAGGCTGAAGTTTGAGATCTTACCTCGGAAATCACTGTCAAGAAGTATGTTATCCATCTTCAAATCCTTATGAACATGAGGCGGATTTGTGAAACTATGGAGATAATTAAGCCCCGTCGCGACATCCACAGCGATCTGTATCCTCTGCGTCCAGCTCAAGAACCTGTCATTCTTACTACCATTTGAAACAATCCAGTCACTCAAGGGACCTTTAGCAGCATATTCATAAACAAGATACCAATGCCCTTCGTCGAAACAGACACCCGAAAGACGAATCAGGTTCGAATGGTTCGTCTTGTTAAGTAAATTGACTTGTTTCGACACGTCTCCGTTCATCTTCTTAATAGCTGCTGAGTCTCCATTGATTGTGCCATGATAAACAGATCCTTTGATCAAATGGGTTGAATTGAAATTATCAGTTGCAGCTTGTAGTTCTTTGAAACTGTAAACTTTGACAGATTGCGCAATGCTGGAAATACTCTCCAATGTGATAGAAGATGATTCTCCATCCATTTTTTTCTCTGATGGCTTCTCATATGATGTAAAGCTATCAATTTCAGTAGCTGAATACTCAGTTTTCTTCTTCTTTTTCCTCACACACACAAAGAAAACGACACCCCCAATTGCAGCTGCTAAAACAACGCCTCCTACAACGGCGACGACAACATAAACCCACGTTTTTTTGGAGCTTGGAGGTGGTGGAGTGGCTGGAGATGGCGGCGGTGGCGGCGGCGATGACAACGAAGGCTCTTTCATTCCAGAGCTCGACGGCTCAGTTTTAAGGGGAATTAAAAGCGTCGTAAAAGGGTTGATGTTGGATTCTTCTCCAAGCTCGTTGGCTGCAAGAATAATCCCATTATCCGCACCAAACGATTCAAATCTTTCAGCGATTCCAGAAACAATATCATCGAATAAAATTAAGTAACTCAAAAGGTAATTGAAACCCATATCGGTTTGATTCTTGGTCGGACAAGCACATCTAAGAGGAACACGAATCCTTTCCCCACCTTTTATACTCGTGGCATTAAGATTTGGGTTCTGAGCTATAAGAGATTGGCAAGTCGAGAGGCCTTGCAGGGTATCATTGGCAATCTCTAAATAAGTATCTCCCCGTTGTGTTGTAAAAGAAACATTAGCCTGAAGAAACTGACCGGAACAGGAACAACGGGTTGGAACAAGCACCAATTTCTCCGGCGGGAAAATGGCGGAAGCGTCGACGGAATTGACCCGAGAGATCTCCGACGGGTCGGAACCCAAGAGAGCAGAGATGGAAGACACAGAGTTAAACGGAGAGCGGGATCTGAAGGTGAGGAAGGATTGGCAGCTCCGATTGGGGGTGTTGCAGAAGTAACCCAGATTTCCGGTTGAATTGTGGGGGATGTCACAATCAGCGGTGGTCGGTCCGGTGTAGGGTTGCTGAGAAGCAATTAAAGAGAAGAAGCAAAACAGAGAGGCGACGAAGAAATGGAATTTGAAGGAACCCATTGGAAAATAAGAGAGATTTTGGAGATGGGATTCGTTAAAAAACAGTGATTAATATACCGGAAGTGCGGAACAGGTCAACATTGGCTGCGGAAGATGAACAAGTCTCAGTGTCTTTAAATTTGTAATGAAGGAAGGAGCGTGTTCAGAGGGGAAATTGCATCTTGCACTGCTGTCACTGTTTCTACAATGGCGTCAATCCGTTGACTTGGAAGAAACTATGTTAAATTATATATAAATATATATTAAAATTTCACCATTATTTTAGAAATATATTATTAATGAATAGACATAATAAAATAACGTGAAACAATGTGATTGTGATTAGATTATTTGTCTCGATTATATTTAAAATGACTACGTTTATGTATTTTTATACTTTAAAATATTTTTTAAAAAGATAATATATTTGAGATATTTTTTTATAATTTAGTGGAGAAACAATTAAGCCAAGCAATAAGAATAAAGTCAACATTTTGACCATGCTGGGAAGGGAAATGTCGAAGAGGGACGAGGTTGCCCTTTGAAATTGGGAGCAGAGCAGGTGTATTAGGCGTAAAGATTGTTCTTTTTTTCTTTTGTGATTAATTTAATTATTGTTTTTTATTTATCAACGTTTAATTGTCAACCATGAGTTTATTTATTTTATTTTATGGTGCTCAACAATATTAAGAATTCTTATCGTTCCCTTAAAATTAAATTGAATTCAATCAAACTAATTTAAATATTTTTATCAATTTTTAAAAAAATATATATTTTATTTATGATACAATTATAGGCACGTACACATATTTCATAATTATTGTTTAATAACTCTTAAAAATAATTTATTTTTTCAAAAATATATATAGAATTTGAGTTAATTAAATGTTTAAAAATAAACACAGAGAAATTTATATTTTAAAATATTAAAAACCGAATTGAGAATAATGAGCGGTGATTTGGTATATTTGGTATATTGAATAAAAATTAAAGTACAAAATGGAAATGTAAATTTATGATATTTATTTAATTTAAGAAAACAAAAATAATAGAAGAAAACCATTTCAAATAAAATAAATTAAAACGTAAAAGAGACCGTTTGAGAAGATAAAGTTTTATGCTACAAGAAAATTAAATTAAGACAAGAAAAACATTTTTTTTTTTTTTTTGAAAAAAATATATAAATTAGAAAAAATTAAAAAAAAAAGGAAAAATCAAATTAATATACGTAGCCCATGAAATGAGCCCACTCTTTCTTTTCTTTTTGAAGCCCAGCCCAATTGTTTCTATAAAAAACAAAACCGAGCCCATTTATAAAATAAAATAAAATAATAAATTCAATTTTTTTTTTTAATTTCTTAATTTTATTTAGACAAAAAATGACCATATATATATTTTTTTAATTATTATTTAATTTTTACTGTACTATAAACCCCAGCGCAGCACATTTTGGCGGAAGTGGATTCCGCCTCCCTCGCAATTTCAGCTTCAGAATTTAGACCCAAATCGAAAAGCCCTCAGCGACTAGCGTGATCTTGCTTTCTCCTTCTCCCTCTCTACCATCCCAGGCCTGACCCGAAGCTCACTGCCTCTCTCTCGAAACCCCTCCCAGGTTTATGTGTTAAGCTACAGAAACGAAGCAAGTTTGTCTCTGGGATCGTCGTATTTCACAGGTTTGCTTTCTATAATCTTTATTCCGGATTCCAGTGAATTATTTCGTATGTTAATTGTTAAGAAGATAAATTTCTTTGTGGAACAGTGAAGAAGCTAGGAATTTGAGAAATGGCAAGCCAAGTAGCTACTACTTTCAATGGCAACATGAAGGCAATGCTCCTTTACTTTTACTCTAGTGCTTATTAATCATTGGAATGATTGTGTGATGCATATTGTAGTTCCTTACATATTAGAAATTGGCTTTTTGTTCACTGCACACCAAGTGTATGTGGGATTTATTTATGGATTTTCTTTTCGTTTCTGTTGCAATCTATTGATGAGTTTTTGAAATTTTTTATTTTTGTCGTTTGGAGTGTCGTTAAGTTGTGGTTGTGATTATGTGTGTTATCGTATAGATGGTTTTGAAAATGATACAGTGTCTAGTAGCTCTTGTTACATAATCTCATGCCATTGTTAGAGGAAATGTTTATTTGGAAACTCAAGTGCACCTGTCTGTCTACTTTAATTGATAAGAGGCGTTGAATTAATAAATTATGGACATTCAGAAGTCTTGTAGGCAATTTATTGTAGTTTGGACGACATGCTTTGAAATTTAAGGTTAATATGGTCAACATTTTGTTTTGTGTTTGATGTGTTATGTGTTGTGTTTAATTGACAAGTTATTTTATCCTGGACAAGTGGGATTTTGGCATAGGCAACATCAGAAAAAGGGGTAGGACACGCCTCCGAGTGGGCTAGAGATTCTATAGTGGACTATTTGGTATTCCATTTTTTAGGACAATTACGGGTCTTCGATTTGGATGATTCATGAAGGAAAGTTTATATAGTAGCTGAAGAAGCCTTTGGGTTCAATTACTTAAATTACGTTTTTTTTAAGAAGAAACAAACTTCTAATTGAAAAAATGAAAAGAGACTTGTGCTTAAATGATAAAGATACAAACTATAAAAGGGAGTGAAAAAAGGAAATAAAAATTACAATGGATGCTGCAAAACCAAATGAGGCATAAAATCTTGAAAAGAATATCCCGCCAGTAGATTGGAAAGAGCATACTAAGTAGTGGTGAACAAACAAATCGAGCCGAACCAAACTATAAGCAGAAATTGAGCCAGAAAGCATGAACAACAAAAGAGCATTGAAAGGACTGATGATTGCCAAAATGCTAAGAGGACGAAGAAGAATATACCAACTACAATGAAAGGCTGAGATCCCCTCTATTTCAATAGAAGAATGCTAAAACAAGGGTCATTCCAAAATAAAATCTTCGACCAATGACCAAATGCAAAGCAACAAAAGAATCCACCTATTGCCAAATAAAAAAGATGATCAAGAATTGTGCGAAATTGACTTGAAACCCTGGAATAACCAAAGAAAAATCCCATTCCTTGGTAACTAAAATCTTGCCAATAGCAGCAACAAGAAAACCAGCTAACCACTTTCAAAGTCCATAAGAACTTAATAAATGTAGCATCAAGATCAAATCTTAACTTGAGGAGTCAAAGGATGAATTTCTTTCATCTACAATCCGATGCCTTTATCGAAGATGAAAACTTGGGAGGAACTGAACTGGTCCTTGCAACTGGTGTTAAAGATTGTTTTCAGAATGTTCTTGGCTCTACACTGCTCAAACTAATTTCAGATTCATCTTCAGAATCAATATCATTCATACAAGAATGGAGGACAATATCCTTTGGACGAGATTCACCTTTAATTAAGTTATCATTGGACCGTGGAGGGGAAATTATTGATTGGCTGAATGAATTAGAAGAACAAGGCATCTTTTGGTTCAGCTGTTTATCATGAGGCAATAATTCCTGATTGGTAGGAATGAGCAGCCTTACACAAAATTCTTCAAACATATTAGCATTAAGTTTTGAATGTTCTTTAGTGAGAGAAAGGGCCTTCATCCGAGAATAATAAAGAGGAAATGAGTCTTTAAGAATAGGAAGCTCGAGAGACAACTTGGGAGGGCTGAGTGGAAATATCATCAACATTTACTTCATCCATAGGGGTTACCTTATTAACACCTTAAAGATAGAGAGTTGACTGATAAGACACTTCATTAGTTAGGACAAACCGTCATTAATGGGATGATGGTTGGTCGTACTATTAATTTTTGTAACACTAATTTTCTGGTTGGGCAATAGAGTCAGTTGACTTACTAAATTCTAGTGATTCATGAATTGGGCCTCTGAAATGCAATTCTCGTTTAATCAACCTCCTCAACATGCAGTCAAGGAGTATTATGTATCAAATACAATCTCCCTTGAGTTATTAATAGTGTTCCAACCCTGAACCAAAGATGTCTCTTTAACACCTGATGTTTCTGGAACAGATTCCAAAACGTAAGATTCTACTTCCAAACCACGCCAATAAGGCATATTAATAGCTACATCCTTTCAAAAGCTTCTTCACTTGAATTGGTAATTGGATTCACACCCTTATCAAATGCTCATTAGGTAATACTTGAACCTCGTCTTCTGGTGAAGCGCATTGCCAAAGCAACTTTTCATCTTCTATTACTGATTGAACTTGGAAAAAGTGAAATGGATTCCTATAGTCACAAAGATCTAAACTTCTTTAAAATGGAATCGAAATTGAGGGTGAATCAATAGCTACAATGTCCCCAAAATTAAGAGAAGTGTTGCCCCTTACCTTGCCTTGAATTTTGATCATCACTGGAACGAAGCCACATGAATTTTTCTCTACTTCAATATATGCCGCTTCATAATCAATCAACTTACGAGTTTTGGATAGATTCCAATCAGTCCACCAAAAAAACACCCCAATTGCTTCAAAGGTGTCTTTGTTCCTGTATTGCAAAGGTAGTTCAATATCTTTCCTCTGTAACCCCACCCTAAATTTTAGCTTTTTTGAAAGACCACTATTCAAACTTCATTTGAAGTGGATATATATTTATCCATTTACCTTCTGTCCCAAGTTCACCTAAAAGTCTGATCCTACATTTGCAAAAGAGCCTTATCAGCCATGAACGGATTTATCACAAAAGTAGCCTAAAAAACTGTTCAATTTCCTTTTCCATATCTTCCATCCATCACGGGATTCAGACGTGAAGTTGTCAATAAAAGCACTCAAATCAAGGCTTGCCACGTAATTCTTTCACCCCAAAACTCATTTCTACTAAGAGGTGATGATCTTGTAGAAACTGGTAACCTCTTAGAGACTGCTTCCTCTATTCTCTGCTTTCCATCCGTGATCTTACTCACAACATTTGCATAAGTGAAGTTCAATTTATGATCGTCATTCATGATAGCATAAACAAAATTCAACGGACTTGTTAATTTGAGTTGTTGCTATATGCATACATTGTGTAAAAGGAGAAGTGAAGACTTAAAATTATATATTGTGTTCATGCACTTCTAAACACTTTCCAATGATCGAAGGATCATGTTTGCATGGTTGACAAAGTTGTTTTGGGATATGGGGGGTTTATTTTGGCACTTCGGTTTCCTGA